CACGTTACAAGCCTCTTTCGTGCACGCGAAGCGTGCACTCCGGCCGGAGGCGGCGGCCGAAGGCCGCCGCCTCCGGCAGGAGTTTTTCAGGCATTAAGACTCATCGGAAGTCGTTCAGCAGATTTATTTTTAGTTCAAAACATTCTAATTTGATGTCAAAGATGACAGGATTAAAAAATAGTTATGTTGAGATTTTTAAGAAATTTGCATAAAATACTCGCCAGCACTGTTATACGAAATTCGGTAAAAAACCCAAAATCGCCATATTCAGGTGCCTTAAAAACCATGTTAAAATCGAGTTAGAGATCTGAAATTTTTCAGGGCGTCTAGACGTTGACCAAATCGACTGCAAAAAAAGTTTCGGGTTTCAGGAACATCGGGAAGTGGGTTTTCTAGAACCCCTGTTTTACGACAGATTGTAGTACAGGGAAATCCGTCTGAAAAAATCGATCTGCTGACACACGAAGCTTTCAGAGGATTTTTGACGTTTTTGAGTCCCATTAGGTGCCCTTTATGGCTGACCAACTTTTCCAAACTTTTCCACGTGGCTTAAGGCCACTTTTTGCCACTTTACCACTTTTTACCACCTTTCTTGATTGTCGAATATCTTTAGTTGTGAACATCGTAAAAGGTTGCGAATCAATCGAGTGTGTTCATATTATCAGGAAGAAAAACTTTTGTTCTAACAATTTTTACGTCAGATAATAAGTTAATTGGATAATTATCAATTAACCAATTAGCAAAATTCTAAAATTTTTTTATTGGCTAAAAATGATCGGAATAGCTTAAAACACGGAGAAAAGTAGTTTTTAGAAAAAATTTGAAAATTTTTCACTTACATTTTTTTTTCGAGACTTCGAAAAATTTCGAAAATTCAAAATATTTTTTTCCGCCAAAAGTGATCAAATTGCATGAAACGCGGAGAAAAATGATTTTCAAAAAAAACTTAGTCAATTTTTCGTTTCAAGAATACTTAAATCACCAATATTTGTAGTTGGAGTTTAGTAAATCTCGGCAGATTTTAGTAATAATCAGGAATTACTAACTCTAAGTGGAAAGGTCTGAAACTGAAAAACGTTAAGTTTAACCATACGATCGCGATATAAGAGTTTCATAACTAATTACAATACAGCCTTATCGATTTTCACAGAAACTGCACCAATGGCACAGTCAAGATCGAAACGATAGCCTGCTGTACTGTCATTTTATTGATTTCAATGATGAATCAGTGGGGTTAAGATAATCACATTTGTAATAAATAAAACCTCTCTGTGCCGTCAATTGTGCTAATCTAAACCGGCCTACCTGTATTACCAGACCTCTTCTTTTCCTCAACAATCAAACCGAGTTGTTCATATCGCATTTGGTGGGTGATGTAAACTAAGTAGTAATACATATCGAGCTATATTCAATCACAATACGATACAGTACGTGTATATTATATGGCTCTTAATGAGGTTTATGAAACGCTTTATACCGTGAGAAACCCGGTATAGAGAGGTTTTACAGTTTATCACGAAAACGTCTACTTGGTCTCATGGCCCATTTACAGTTCGAAGAAGGGCAAGAACAGATCAGGGAAACTGAGGAACAGCCAGGTCCAGGAAGCAAGTGTAAATACACCTTCCAACATCTACTGTAACTGTTTTGTATTGTACTGCATACCGCTTCATTTGCGGGATACCTCAAATCACCCCCATATGTCAGGGTCGGCTAAAAGTAAAATCAACAAGGGTAACATACGGGAAAGGGTAAGATTTAGATACGAGTACAGTGTTGGGCAAGGGGTAGTGAAGAACCGGTAATAATTAATTCAGTGAAATGTTCCACGAGAGTCAGGATATTTTGGAAATTGCTAATAGAGACAGATCCTGATCAGGAAGGATTGTTAATGTTATTGAGGATGTTAATTTGAAATCCGGACGTCGTGAAGTAAAAATACAGGTTCTTCCCGCAGGATATTCGGGGCCCATGATGATCAGCTCGGGATTAATGTGGGACAGATCGAAGACTGACAACTGAACCCAATTGAACCTAGTTCCCACTAACCAATCAGCTTAATTGGTTAGGGTTAGGGTTAGGGTTAGGGTTAGGGTTAGGGTTAGGGTTAGGGTTAGGGTTAGGGTTAGGGTTAGGGTTAGGGTTAGGGTTAGGGTTAGGGTTAGAGTTAGGGTTAATCTTAATGTCTAAATTGGGTTCAGTTGTCCGGTAGCCCGCTCTTGCGAGTTGACATTCTAAGCTTTTTGGTCTTTTCTTGCCTTCTTTGAGCTGTCAAAGAGCCATGAGACCAAGTAGACATTTTCGTGATTAACTGTAAAACCTCTCCATATCGGGCCTCTCACGGGAGAAACGAGAAGTGTACGGTATAGAACATTTCATATACCTCATTAAGGGCCATAATATAATATACACGTGTTGCATTGTGTCGTATTGTGATTGAATATAGCTCGATATGTATTACTACTTAGTTTACATCACCCACCAAATGCGATATGAACAACTCGGTTTGATTGTTGAGGAAAAGAAGAGGTCTGGTAATACAGGTAGGCCGGTTTAGATTAGCACAATTGACGGTACAGAGAGGTTTTATTTATTACAAATCTTAACCCCACTGATTCATCATTGAAATCAATAAAATGACAGTACAGCAGGCTATCGTTTCGATCTTGACTGTGCCATTGGTGCAGTTTCTGTGAAAATCGATAAGGCTGTATTGTAATTAGTTATGAAACTCTTATATCGCGATCGTATGGTTAAACTTAACGTTTTTCAGTTTCAGACCTTTCCACTTAGAGTTAGTAATTCCTGATTATTACTAAAATCTGCCGAGATTTACTAAACTCCAACTACAAATATTGGTGATTTAAGTATTCTTGAAACGAAAAATTGACTAAGTTTTTTTTGAAAATCATTTTTCTCCGCGTTTCATGCAATTTGATCACTTTTGGCGGAAAAAAATATTTTGAATTTTCGAAATTTTTCGAAGTCTCGAAAAAAAAATGTGAGTGAAAAATTTTCAAATTTTTTCTAAAAACTACTTTTCTCCGTGTTTTAAGCTATTCCGATCATTTTTAGCCAATAAAAAAATTTTAGAATTTTGCTAATTGGTTAATTGATAATTATCCAATTAACTTATTATCTGACGTAAAAATTGTTAGAACAAAAGTTTTTCTTCCTGATAATATGAACACACTCGATTGATTCGCAACCTTTTACGATGTTCACAACTAAAGATATTCGACAAACAAGAAAGGTGGTAAAAAGTGGTAAAGTGGCAAAAAGTGGCCTTAAGCCACGTGGAAAAGTTTGGAAAAGTTGGTCAGCCATAAAGGGCACCTAATGGGACTCAAAAACGTCAAAAATCCTCTGAAAGCTTCGTGTGTCAGCAGATCGATTTTTTCAGACGGATTTCCCTGTACTATTGTCGTGATATCTATCTATCTATATATATACATATATACATATATATTCAGGGATAGACGCTTTGCCAGTCAATTGTAGCCTGTATTTAATTGTCCATAGATTCAAAAGTATAAAAGATACAGCCATTTCCGACCACAGGTCTTGAAAATAATTGTTTACACTTTAGTTTACATTGTATAAACAAATTATTTGACGTCATGAACACCCCTTGATGACGTCATCAAGTTAACCGTTTTTAAAACTTGATTTTTGACAAAGTAATAACTTTTAAAAATGATTTTACACCATTAAAAAGTAATTTTATTCAAAATCTGAGGAAATTTTCACCTTAGATAATTGTTCAAGCATTCTGAAAATCTACCGGAAAGTTTTTCTAGCTTGCTCCTTCATAAAGATATTCGTCATTGAAGTTTGTGCTTTTTTGAAGAATTATTTTATAAAAACGTCAATTTTGCGATTTAGTATTCTCTGGTGTTGGGCCATGCCTTGGGTTGTGGAGCTCAGTTCTGCTTCCTATAGATATAAATTGTGCATTAGGCTAGTTTTAAAGTTAAAAATCGAAAAGTTGCACACATGGGGACACGCCCAAATTGATAGAAAATTGCTAAAATCACTGAAAATTGCTGTTTTCGTCATTTTCTGTCAACTTTAGAGTGCCGTTGTGATAACAGTTCTTCTTGAAATACTTTGAAACTTTGCATGCTTATCAAGCTATATATACAACAATTACATGCAAAATTTTACGGCGATTCAATATTGGATGCGCACGCAACGTCCGCTTAAAGTTTGCACGTGCGAAAGGTGAGAATTGTGCTCATTTGTGATTTCCAACAAATTCTGCTTTGCCACGACAGTTTGATGTCATTATAAATGAATTTAATGCCAACTTGAATGAGTATTAAGTGGCATATTCAGTCAGTGATCGACCGATATGCTTACCTAAACACAAGGAAATGTTTTTAAAGGAAAAATTTCGAAATTGTTGAAACTTCCTCCTTATTAATGAAGATATCAGTTTATATTTCGACTTTATAAAGTACCCTGACATTATAATCAAAAAGAGATGATATTTGACCAAAACCCATAATCATGGGTAGAGTGGACCGCTGCCAGTGTCTCTCTTTCCCAAACAAAAGGAAATGATATTAATTTGATTGACCGTTCTCAAATGCAAAATGATACCGAGAATGAAATCGGTCGCTCGCTTTTCCCATTCATTTACAATTGTAATAGATTAAGAAGAACTACCCAAAGGCAGCTGTATTCAGCAATAAAGATTCAATAAACTTCAGCTAATTCAATAAGTAATAACTACCACCCTTACCCCGAAATACTAGGTATCGACCCGAACGCAACCCAAAGAGATTTTTACAGCATCTGATTGATGTACCTAATCAATCGAAACTTATTACAATTCGTAAGCCGTGAATGAATGGGAAAAGCGAGCGACCGATTTCATTCTCGGTATCATTTTGCATTTGAGAACGGTCAATCAAATTAATATCATTTCCTTTTGTTTGGGAAAGAGAGACACTGGCAGCGGTCCACTCTACCCATGATTATGGGTTTTGGTCAAATTAATAATCGGATTATAATGTTCAAGAAATAATAAATCAACTATTTCACTCAATGATCATGACTGAGACGTTTCCAGTTCTAACAAGTGTAACCAGCAGCACTCCAGTTTATTTGGTACCCGTCAGCATTAGCTTTAGCAGCTGAAACTCCAGGGGCATACATCTCGTATCTGCGGGAATCAGAGATATGAACAATTGAGAATAATACCTGTATTGTCCTCATATACTAAGACGCAATGAAATTCGTAATTGCAGGGGGAACGTTTGTTTGAGGGTTGAAATTCAAAATAGGGATAATCTCGGCAATGAATGGCAGTACAAACAGTTGCATTGTAGATCCTTCAATGCTGCATTGTTGAATGAACAACTCTAACTTAGGAGTCCGAGTAGACTAATGGTGCATTGTTATAAAATCAAAACACAACTCATTTCGAACAAGAATGGTGCATTATGTCATTTAGGGATTCTATAACTGTCTCAAACCATTTACTAAAATACAAAAGAAATTTCTCAGACCATTTACTAAAATACAAAAGAAATTTCTATTGTCAAGAATAGTGTTCTGCACTATAAACATTACCTGAAGAAAGTAGGCTGCCCCAGAAACATTACCTGAAGAAATTAGGCTGCTCCAGAAACGTTACCTGAAGAAAGTAGGCTGCCCCAAAAACTTTACCTGAAGAAAGTCGGCTGCTCCAGAAACGTTACCTGAAGAACGTAGGCTGCTCCAGAAACATTACCTGAAGAAAGAAGGCTGCTCCAGAAACATTATCTGAAGAAAGTAGGCTGCTCCAGAAACATTACCTGAAGAAAGTAGGCTGCCCAAAAAACATTACCTGAAGAAAGTAGGCTGCTCAATTCCAACATATCCTGAGTACTGAGAGTAATCCCCGGTGTTCACCAGGGTAGTCTGAACAAGGGCTTTCCTGGCAAACTTGCAGGCAGACAGGGAGGAGTCGATACTTAGGTAGTTACCGTTCTTTCTCCATTTTCCTGTGAGATTGGGTTGGCGAATATGTGGATATGGTGCGGAAGGGTGCGGAAGATTAAATAATAAAAGTGTTAGGACTTGCATGAACTCAAGAAGTAATTTCGGTAAAACTAATATTACATTTACAGACGTTGTTTTTTGGTTTGTCTGAACAGCCTAATTGTTGTCCCGGACAGAAGAAAATAAGAGTTAAACTCCATATTCCATAATTGAGAGTGACGGAATCGCAGACAATTATAATTCAAATTGTTAAGACAACAGCTAATCCAAAGCAGTTCTTAACTTTAGTTGTTAAGAAATTACGTAACATTACATATTGTGACACATCGTATTAGCATATTATTACATTTATTAACAGCGGGCACTATTATCTGAATTTCACAACGTTACGACAGCTTAAGTGTTACAATAATTGTTTTTTGTGACCTCTTGCGTGACACCACAAGGGACACATTGACAATTTCCTGAATGCTTACCATGTTAAACTTGAAAGTGACCATGACTCATTCCTCACTTGTATAGCAATATTCTCGTTACCTATTTGACTTACTTAAGTACTTGAGTTACATGATATGGCGGAGATAATTAGGGCTGGCGAGTGGCGCTATCCTAAATTATACTCGTTGCCCTGAAAGTGAAAGTGAAAGTGAAAGTAAAAGTGAAAGTGAAAGTAAGCCTCCCCCAACTTACCACCGGATTCTCCATAGCAGATCCTGGCGCAGGGTTCAGGTCCAGTCACGTCACTGGACACCAGAACAATATCAGAGACAACCATGTTAAAGGCAAAGGTTGCAACAAGGAGGAGAGAGAGCGAGGCCATTATGTTTTAGGTTGAGATCCAAGAGATGAAGATTGAGAAATGATGGCAAGGTTTGATGAGTGGTATTTTATAGGTTTTGTGCTTTTGTTTATACTTATAGTTTGACACGCTTTGTCGACCAGCTGGTGATTTTACAAACCTTGGATTTTTCACACATTGCTGTGAATCAGCTTTCTTTTCACAACAAACAATACACTTCGCACCCTCCTTATTAATATGAGAACTTTTATAATTAGAACTGATATCAGTTTATCAAAGGATTATTCTATCAGCAAATTTACTTCGTTACTTTGTTGAGTTGATCCGTGGAGCCGGAAAGGTCATCAGATATCTGACCACCTGGATGGCGAGTAGTCAAACAGTGAGTTTGACCAACTGCAGCTGTAGGCAAACATGTCAAAGGATGTGTCAGCCTTTACTGTGTGAGGCACCTTGTTCCACAGCTTCGGTCCTTGAACTTCAAAAAATAGCTTTCCATTTACTTATTAACTCGGTGACAAGCCGACAGAAAGGAGGTGAAACATTTCTTGTGGTCCTCTTTTGTAAGTCACCTGGAGACTACATCTATTGGATCTTTTGTGACCTGTAATCTGCAATCTGCAATCACATGAGAACAGTTAGTGGAGCTCATGGAACTTGTAAGACAGAATAGGAAACAGTTGGTTCCAGTCTGTTAGCGATCTGTTGTGCGGATACAACTTCAGACATGAACAACTCTTTGTCCTAACAAAATATTTTGAAAAAATAGGTAACTGGTAACTGCAACCCTCCAAAAAAACATCATCTCCCAAAAGTTGCCTCCCCCTTCTTTTAAGTTTATATAAGTAGAAGTTTATGACCTCATGAACTCAAAGAAAGTTTTGCTATTAAGTGAAACAATACAAAGCACATGTGAGAATCCGATATTTGAATCATATCATGTCAATGAGGTCATCTTGATTCCATTTTTAGACCTAGAAGTACATTATAAATGTATAATATAATAAGTTATAGTATGATCGTCATGTGACTATGCATGTCAGCTCAAATACGGGTCAACAGCGAGAATCCTGAAATCACCATTCTATCGCGGATAATAACACTCGGATAGCACAATTGTGGGATCACAATTGAAACAGTCACGTGATTATTTCAAGGCACGTGACCAGCGCCCACGTGACCAGCGCCCACGTGCTAAACAAACAACCACTTAAGCCATATGACTGCTGTGACTTGTATTAAGTACTTGAGTACTTGCGAGGTGATTCACGCGAGCTTTTGTTGACGTGGCAGGCTTCATATCACGTGACCGACTTATAACACTGATGTGAGGCTACCTGCTGGTCACATGACATGACTGATGGTGTTACAGATATACAAATATCACCCGCGTGATCTGTCACGCGGTAGTCACGCGCCACCGCGTGATTTGTCACGTGATCGCGCGTGACGTCATCAGACTTGACTGCTGAGAAACTCGGTGTGCTCCGGTGACACAATTTTGTGAATCGTCTACGAAATGTTTGCATGAGGAGTAGGCCATGTTCAGTACTAAGTCAGTTTGTAAACTTGTGTTTTTGCTTTGTAAGGTCGGCTGGCGCCACATGTGCGCCTTTTGCGGCGGTCTTTTCAATGTGGCCACCGTAAAATTGTTTTTAACTTTTAAACATTGTTTTTTGTTGATTCATCCAACCGTGTCAAACTCGGTTATTTAACCATCCATCTGACCACCTGCTTTAGGAGAATGGTTAGATAAAACTCTTGTCGCGTACGTGTGTGAAGAAGATAAAACAGTATTGTTACTTTGATTAATGAGACTTTCAGGCCATTATTACGTTATTAGACTGAGACATTATCTGCAAAATATTCATAATGTTTGTGCTCCTCTCGCTTAACATGGAGGGAAATAAAAAGAATTATTGTCAGTTAACTTTGGGATTTTCAGGCCATTATTCTGGCATTACCTTGATCTCTGTCGTGTTACAAATTTAGGTATTCAACAATTATGATGCATTAATACCCACAGTGTTGTTATGGTAACGCTCAAGAATCCTTGTCGAATATCAAATTTTATTATCATTGTTATTTGTTGTTCATCCGTTGATCGGGTATTGAAATTAGGTGTATAGTTTCATTTGCAGTCCTGCAAAATCTTTCCGGTGTGTGCCCTCTCGCTGTAATTTATTTTAAACGTGTGTGATTTTCGACTTGTAAGACTGTAAGACAACAAATCTATACCACTGAGAGCTTTGTGGCGGGGAACAATCTAGAAGATTCGTAACAATTCATATTTACTTGTTGGTAAAGTGGCATGCACTTTGTTGGTAAACGAGAAACACAGTTTAGTCCTTTTCAACGATAACTTTTTTAATTGGTTCTGATGAAACAGCTCATGATTTGAAAATTTGAAATTTTTTAGAAAATTCCACCGTTTCCCTAGAAATGTAATCTTTTGTCTGAATGTCTGTTAAAATTTTGAAACTTGATAGATTTTTGTGTGCAGGTTTATAAGATAATGGTTGAAAATTCACTTAACAGGTTTATTCCCGTTTAACACAATATTACAGTTACGCTTTATCAACTTATCGAGATTAGGACATGTGTTAATGTTGGTTAGGACATGTTGGTTTTCTACCCCATGACCAAGTTCTTGGCCGAAGCTCCTCGCTTTGTTCTCGTTCTTATTCTCTTCTCTTATCTCTTTTCTTATCTGTTCGCAACAAACTTCACTGTACAGCCGAGTAGATAATGGTTGTTGATGTTGCACCACTCTCCTCGCTGGAAAAAGAAAAGTTTTTGAAGCGGCTCCCTTCCCATTTCACATTCTGGTTAGTACATTTATTTACTTGTAAATTTATTGATTCCCAAATCGTTAGACTTTAAATTAAAGTTACATTATCGAAATTGTTAGGATTGTTGATCAGCAATTTTATTGTGAGTAGATTGTATCGATCAGTCGGTATTTAATGACATTTGATGGCATCTGATTAACTCAAATAAAGTATATAATCATTCTAACGGATTCCTGCAAATCAAAATTACCGACCCATTTCAGAAATCCTAACAGTATTGTAAATGGAATTTGTTTTAGTAATTGGTAAATGCTGTTATTTTCAGTTTAACACTAATTGGTAAATGTTGTTATTTTCAGTTTAACACTAGTTGGTAAATGTTGTTATTTTCAGTTTAACACTAATTGGTAAATGTTGTTATTTTCAGTTTAACACTAATTGGTAAATGTTGTTATTTTCAGTTTAACACTAATTGGTAAATGTTGTTATTTTCAGTTTAACACTAATTGGTAAATGTTGTTATTTTCAGTTTAACACTAATTGGTAAATGTTGTTATTTTCAGTTTAACACTAATTGGTAAATGTTGTTATTTTCAGTTTAACACTAATTGGTAAATGTTGTTATTTTCAGTTTAACACTAATTGGTAAATGTTGTTATTTTCAGTTTAACACTAATTGGTAAATGTTGTTATTTTCAGTTTAACACTAATTGGTAAATGTTGTTATTTTCAGTTTAACACTAATTGGTAAATGTTGTTATTTTCAGTTTAACACTCGACGATGAACGTGGAGCGCTAGAAAGACTTACTTTAATTCTACACTCCGTTCCCCCAGCCTTCAGGTACAATGTACATTTTAATAGTATTTAGGATATTTTCAGGTATTTGAGGTATCTAATTACGTCATGAGTTATAACATCTGAGTATTTTACGAAAGGGCTGCAAAGTGTGAAACAAACCTTTCTGCAGTATGAATAATGATTCTCGACACAAAAACATTTCATAATAATACTGACTTACTACATAACACAATAACACTGACTTACTACATAACACGGCTTTAGATAAATGTGTGACAAATTTGTCGGTGTGAATACTGATTGTAATTATTAAAAATGTTATTAATAATTCTACTCGTAAGTGGAACGATCAAAGTGCAATAATCAAAGCAAATATATTGAAATCGAATCAAGCATGTTTTATTTAAAACTTGATTAATTTTTGCACAAATAATTTCCAAAATAACATCGCAACATGTCGCTGTCAGATTCTTCAGAATGGCTTTGTACTTATTTCTTTGTAGTATTTTACACTTCTTGCCAGCCATCAAATAAAAGTATCGCAAAAAATTATTCGAGTTCTTGGTTGAACCTCCTTACGTTTTTATATAGAAGATTTGTATATTTACAAATCTTGTCTTCTTCACACGGCTGTAAGTTCCTCGCGGAGCCGATTGTTCGTGTCTAGATCAGCGCTTCGTCTTACGCAACCAAACCCCTCGTGATACCCACAGTCCACACCACACACTTCTTCAAGTTACAACACACTCCTCGTAGAACTAGAAACTTGTCGCCCACCAGTGGTATGGGAGAATTAAGATTAATATATTTTTGAATGATTACAATAATTAATTTTAGTTCTTGTCTAGTTCTCTTTTAAACCAGTTTATAAGTTACTTACAACAAGTTCGTTTCTTAAAACAAAAAATAAGTTCTTTCTTTGCCATTTCTGTCCCGTAGTTTAAAGCTATCAGATTCCACTGCAAAAGAAGAACTAGCTTAGAAGAATATCTACTGTATAAAGTTAAGTTGCTGATTTGACTTTATGGCCACCTGCAGATGTTCAAGATTTTTCTAGCAAATGACGCCTCTGAAGAGTGTCTATCAAAAGTGGCTTTGGCAGAATTCCAACTAATAATAATAATACTTTCGATAACAAAAACTTTGATCAGAACTCATAACATTAATCGAGGATATATTCATGCTACATTATTATGGAAACTTCTGATTGGTGATTTTCAGCTACCTGTTGGCTTTTGATTTTGGGAAAAATCACAAATTTAAGTGAGCTCTAAACGTTCAAAAACGGCATTTGCGGTTTTTTGCGGTTAATCAATCATCAGTAATAAAAGTAGATACTAGTGGAGATGTGTAACGGATATGTTTTGACACGTTATACTGACACTGTGGGTTTAGTGGTGAAGACTGGAATCGTTAATGATTGCCCAGATAAATATTTTCTAATACATTACAAAAAGCATAAATAAAAGAACCTTGGCAAAATGCCACCATGTACCGCAGGAGATGTGTTAACAATAACCTAATGTATCTCTTGTACATTTACAATGTACAATAGTAAAATATGTACAATGTATTTGTACAATGTAAAATGTACAGTAGTACAATAGTACAATATGTATAGTACTATACAATATGTATATTACAATATGAATAGTGCAATATGTATATATTGTACTATATATAGTACTATATATTGTATAATATATATAACAATACAATATGTACAATATGTATTTCTCTTCTATTGCGTATTCACCCCTTGTTACCTGTTCTCCTCTGGTCCCTGGGGACTGCTGGTTCCCAGCCAGGGGATTAAATTACCGAATATCTCTAAATGAAATCATGTGTAATAAATTAGTGTTTTTAACTTATTTTCGTCACGGAATGAAGGACTTTTAAGCACTTAAAAACACGGTATTTAATTCTGTAAATTGATTCTGATTATAAGGGCGTTCCAAAATAAGGATAATAGATATATCAGTCAGTATTTAATTCCCTCAACCTTTCGTAAACAAAACGTACAATGTACATGTACATTAAACGTACGTGTCCGTACAACTATTGTACTTTTATTCAATATTTCATTTTTTCAATGAATTATTCTGATGCATGTAAAAATATTTCTGTAGACCTGCAGCCTATTGTTGTGCAGCAGATTGATTTATACTCTGCAGATTATTTAGAAAGGCGAAGCTCAATACTTATCAATACAAAGTTTTGTAAATGCCAACCATATTTGGACCGAATTATTACCTGCAATTAATTTGAAGATGTTTGTTATTAACTGCAAAAGAATCGCTCCCGGCTGGACTTGAACCAGCAACCTTTCGATTAACAGTCGAACGCGCTAACCGATTGCGCCACGGAAGCTTGTTGCGATGTTATAAATAAAGTTCTAGATGGATCATGGACTTTACCAATTTATCGAAGTCAACCTTGAAGGCCTATTCATTTCTTTCTTCTATCACTATCAGCGATGTTTGCACATACAATTAATCATACGCAATTATGATATGTCATAATCTGTAAAAATGGATATTTATTCAGTTTTTAAAAAACACGTAATTTTCTTCAACAAATATATTTCCATTATGTTTTATTGACAATATCAATCGAGCCAGCAATTGTTGCAAGCTTTCCGGCAGAACACGTTTCTAATCTGAGGGCTGTGACATGACGATCTCGTCATCCTGCTGCAGTAAATGTCTCCGAAACCGTTATCACAATCAGCTGAAAAATAATTACGTGATTGAAAACAATTGATTTTTATTTAATTAATCCTGCTTGTCAGTTGAACACTCTCTCAAAACATCTCAATAATGATTACGTGATCTCACGACAGTCGAATTGAATTCATAATCTCCAGTCATTTCCAGGCTTCAACGAAATTCAATCTGAACCGGGCTCCATATAATATAAGAGTCTAAGGAAAGACAATTCTATCAAAGCACTCGAAATAGTCAAAAATATTTGAACAAAACGTTCAGACATTCTGTGGATTATGATGTGATAAAATTACGTTTGAAACTATACAAGATATAATCTAGATAACAAGTAAACTAACGGTCTGGTTTGGGAGGGTCAGGCCCCACAATAGCGGTGTGATCATACAGTGCCTGATTGCCTCCTCGTCCCCCCTCACCCCTCACCCCTCACCCCTCACCCCTCACCCCTCACCCCTCACCCCTCACCCCTCACCCCTCACCCCTCACCCCTCACCCCTCACCCCTCACCCCTCACCCCTCACCCCTCACCCCTCACCCCTCACCCCTCACCCCTCACCCCTCACCCCTCACCCCTCACCCCTCACCCCTCACCCCTCACCCCTCACCCCTCACCCCTCACCCCTCACCCCTCACCCCTCACCCCTCACCCCTCACCCCTCACCCCTCACCCCTCACCCCTCACCCCTCACCCCTCACCCCTCACCCCTCACCCCTCACCCCTCACCCCTCACCCCTCACCCCTCACCCCTCACCCCTCACCCCTCACCCCTCACCCCTCACCCCTCACCCCTCACCCCTCACCCCTCACCCCTCACCCCTCACCCCTCACCCCTCACCCCTCACCCCTCACCCCTCACCCCTCACCCCTCACCCCTCACCCCTCACCCCTCACCCCTCACCCCTCACCCCTCACCCCTCACCCCTCACCCCTCACCCCTCACCCCTCACCCCTCACCCCTCACCCCTCACCCCTCACCCCTCACCCCTCACCCCTCACCCCTCACCCCTCACCCCTCACCCCTCACCCCTCACCCCTCACCCCTCACCCCTCACCCCTCACCCCTCACCCCTCACCCCTCACCCCTCACCCCTCACCCCTCACCCCTCACCCCTCACCCCTCACCCCTCACCCCTCACCCCTCACCCCTCACCCCTCACCCCTCACCCCTCACCCCTCACCCCTCACCCCTAGTCCCTAGATAACAAGTAAACTAACGGTCTGGTTTGGGAGGGTCAGGCCCCACAATAGCGGTGTGATCATACAGTGCCTGCTTGGCTCCCTCCTCAGTCTCCTTCTCTCCATTTGGCTCCATCACAGGGTACTGTGCCCGTAGGTACAACCCACAGTTACTCCAACCTGTGTTGTAAGGAGAGATTTGAAGTAGGATTTAGGTTGGAAGGTTCAAGCATAAGGTCAGTTTTAAGACAGTTTATGTTGGGAGTGAGGTGATGTTAAAAATGTCTTTAAACGTTGGACTTTTATTTTGGGCGGGTATTACGTGAAAGCTAAGCCCTCCAGAGACCAAATAAAGTCCGAGAAGGTATGCTAAAGATAGGGTATTCCGTATTTTGAGCTAATGGTTTCTACTTTTACCTCTCATGAGTTTGAAGAAGCCTGACTCGCCCCAACTTGCTCCCCAGCTGTTCTTCACTATGATGTATTGGGGGGTGTACCCTACCCCCGCTACAGCGTGGTTTGTTTCACTCCAGCAGGTCCTGTCCAACAATATACCTGCGAGTGAGTGGGTTAGACTTAGAGAAACTTGTGGGTTCGAGAAACTTAAGAAATGTTCAGAAGATGTCCTGCAGATCAAGCTTTTATTCTTGTGAGAAAGTTATTGTTTCCATGATCATCATAAATCGTTTGAATACGCATTGAGTTCCCAAAGGGGAAATGCATTAAGTGAGACACCTTCTTTACAACTAAAGCAAAATATAACAAACCTTCTTTGTACTGGTGAAGTGTCCGGGTAGCCTCAATAAACAAAGTAACAGGTTGTATAGATAAGAGTTTTATTGTGTTCTCCTCTGTTTCCACGTGTCGGGAGTTTACTCTACTTGTCACTTTAGCAGCTATTAAACTGTTCTTGTACTTTGTCAGGTCACACACACTCCTGCAATTAAGTAATTAGTGGACATTCATTTTAATAATCATAATCATCATCTGGGACAAACTTAAGTTTCAATGATTTGCACAATTAATATTAATCTGAATTCTGATAAGTAAGTCTAACCTGTCTACATCAGTGGCGGTATAAGGGTATGCGTATTGGCTCGCCATGTGACCAGTCCTCTTGTTAAAGTCAAAGCACACGTGGGCGGCTCCACCGGTACAACCATCTCGTGTTGTGAAGACACAGTCCAGGTACTCTGTCAGGAAGACACTTATTTCAAACACAAGGAAATGTTTTTAAACTGGTTTTAGTTAAGTAATATGATTTTCTGAGTGAACTCATGTGTTAAGGAAATTATAAATCAAGTTACCCTGCTCTGCAAAGTTTTTCAGTACTCCAGTCGCCTTTTTGTGGGATCCCTCCAGAGCAACATTTGATCCGAACGCCCAGCAAGATCCACATCTTCCTTGATCCTTAGCAGGGGTCACGTAACCTAGAGTATAGTTGTGATATAGAATATAGATACATGGGTTGAGAGATAAATATCTGGCTAGTAGTACTAGCCATTACGTGATGGCTAACAAATTGGGAAACTGGAATATATTGTAACCTTGAGCGACCCAATCCACTGCATCTGGAACAGACACTGGAAGAAGTGGTGAAGTATAACTAGTCAGTACATCCTCCTCCTCCACAACTAACGAGGCGTTCAGACCATGGTATTGAGCCAGCTCGCCGTCAGACAGATCCGAGAAACGGTTTATCTCAAGTTTGTAGGAGCTGTGTTTGGCGTTGTGATCTTCCACTAGTTTCACGTTTGTTTTGAAGAGACTCAGGCGGGTTTTAAGGTTTTGAGAGTTTGTCAGTCGTCCGGCTAGTTTCCCTTCGTCACGTAGGTATTGGAGGTATCTTTTGACGATGTTACCTTGTGTAGAATCAGATAGAACTGATGCAATTATCAGTGCTAGAATCAGTGAGAGTCTCATCTTGCTGAACATTTTTAGTAGTTAGTTTCGGACTGATAACAATTTAACAATATTCTGGAAATACTTAAAATATCAAAACAAAGGAAGCACCACATACCATCATTATTTCATGGTCTCACCTAGCATTGACTTGTAATTGCATCAATCAATTAAAATCTTTGAAGTTGAAATTGTAGAAATTTGTGTCAATTAAATTGCGTTTAATCTCGCTATTGTGAAGACAGATATGGCCATGAATTCGTTTATTTTCCTTCCAACAGCTGGCGAATTCTGAAATTTCAGTGCTAAGTTGCTACTCTCGCGTCTAAAAAGAAATTAAACTTAATAATTTTAAGTCTTTAATTTTAAATCCCACAAGGCGTTGACTAGTCTTGATCACAAAAAGTTAACTTCCTGATAACGACTCATCAACAAACATGTTAAAGATATGCAACTTTTCAGTGCCCCGATGTACAATATGTTGGGTTACATTTCCTACCTGAATGAAGAGTACGAGAACGCCATTCAGTACTTCGATGTGTCCTCCTCTCTGGACAAGGTAATGTCCTCTTTACTAGATATTTAGATACTATCTAGCTGTAACTAGATAGTATCTCGTTACGATTGATGTCTAAACTAAATAAGTACCGATTCCCTTGAATTTTAGTGACTGGAGATTGCAATTTACTAAAATTGTAATGTTTGATGAGCCACTGAAAGTCTAGAACAATGTTTTTAACCCCAATATCTAAACTCCAGGATAATTTGGTGGGTATTGCTAACCAGATACACCTACTGAGAAGACTGGAGAAGTTCGAGGCAGCTAACATTACACTAGAGAGTGTGATGGCAGCTACTGCTTCACTTCCTCGCCACAGGGAGAGACAGAAAATAGGTACAGTTTTTATAATTCTGAAACTTTATGTAGTATGTACTTCTGATCTGATTACCTATAAAAAAAACAAATTTAAGATATCATAATCCCTCAGTACTGACAGATTCGAATATGAAACTTTCAATTTTTTGATCGATCAGATAAAATAATGAATTATAATTATCATATTGAAATAGACCAAGATAAAATAAAATGTTAAGACCTAGCATCTTAACTTTAAGTTCCTGTCTTCAGGTCGTTCAATAGCGGACATAGCTTGGGCTCACTCCTTCCTCGGACTGAACTGTGTAGCAGATCGTCTCTTCTCCACCTCCCAGATCTACGAACCTGACCACGAGTTTACTGCACTAGGAGCAGCTCTTGTTCAGTACAACTTTAGTAAACATATTGACAGGTTAGTTGTCTGCTTTGAAACACAAGGATATATTTTGTAATTTCGTTTATTTGAGGGACTTGTGCCGGAGGTTACTCGCTGATATGTGGAACCCTATAACGGTTTTTTAAAGCGTCATAATTTGAACAGAAAACTTATACGACTTAAACAACACCGTTTGCCAAATATTGCTTCTCTCTCTTTGAAAACATCTCTGCAGTATAAGTTGATATTGTAAATATGCTGCTGTCCTTAATGAGAAAAACAAAAAATACTCTGGAATGTTTGATATTTAGCCGATGATTTTAAACAAAACCATCCACAAATGATCGCTTGTCTCTTTCAAAACAATAGAAATTGTTCAAGATGAGATCGTCTACCTCAAATAATCGGCATATTAAAAAGTTTGTCATGTAGCTCCTTAACCACAACACTTGCAATTCCAGAACTTGTACATAGCATTGCCAAGCAGTAGAATTGCTGATTGATAAAAGATTTAAAAATCGTATCTGGAAATTATAGCTTCTGCAGCTTCATATGTTATATGAAAGTTAGAGTGTATCTCAAAGGAATGTAACATGAACATGCACTTGTGATCGGTAATGTCACTACATACAGAATACAGATACTAGATGTACTACTACAATCTTCAGTGTGTTTAAGTTCATGAAACACAATATTTCCGTATTACTGGTACAAAACATACTTACTAAATATTCTTCTACAATGTTTTGAGATGCAGAATATTTCTGCATTACTGATTGGGACCACAAAACAAACAAAAAACAATCAAAGTTTTTCTTTTCAGAATTGCAGTAACTCCAGCAGAACTTGTAAAAATGCGCGGCTCGTTAAGTCTACATTTTCACAATAGACCCCAATCAAATAAGAAAAAGCCTGCCAAGATGTTCTCCTGTAAAAAGCTAACTTTTCAGAATAGCAGAGCGGTACTACCTCACTGAATCCTCGGAGAAACTCCACTCCATCATACAAAAGAAACCAGAATTTAACCTTCCCAAAGTTTACCTTGCACGGTTGCTTAACCGAAGAGATGCAAACCAGAGGGATGGAATGGATCCAAAAGCTAAAAAACTTTTAAATGAGGTAAGAATTAAAAAATATTTTGATAATATTATTAAATATTTCATAACGCTATAATATAATACAATTATATGCGTTTCACAATTTAGGAAAATTAATATGTTCTGTAAATCTACACAGAACGAAAAGATATACTTCTTAAACAATTGCTTAAAATAAACAATTACAATAGCAGTTTAAAATAAACAATTTCAGGCATTAAAAAGAAGTGACCCCTTTACGGATTACATGGTAGCTAAGGAGAAAGAGAAATATGACGATTACGACGGTTCAGAGGGCTGCATACACCTCTTCAACAGATCTATTAAGAAGCACCCTACTTCTTTTGCTTATCTGCACTTAGCGCAGTCTAAGAAGTGTAAATTATTTAAAGGTATACGTTCAAATTTTTGATCGAAATTTCTTCTTTTCGTTATTTGTACTTTTATCGGCGATATCACCTCTCAAACTCTCAAACATCCATTAAGAAAGCAATAAGTTCAATCTTTCTATAGAATGAAAAAACTTATAAGTTTATAATTTTTATTACAGGAAGGAGTCTAGACGAGAGTGCAGAAATAGAAAAGATAATAAATAAACTTGCAGAAGAACGGGAACCACCTGAGGTACATCTTAAAGTCTAGATTCTCATAACATATTCTGCATACAACAAATAATCCTTCTATTTTCAAGTCTCTGGTTTTCAGATTTTATTTATTAAGTGTTTTCTGTCTCATATAAATGTGATATATGAGTTGTCAAATACTTAATATTATTTCATTGATCAGTCATGATTCAGTTTTTACAAAACAAAACACTGGATGTTAAGAAGCAAATTACATTTAAACAATTTTTTTCAGCCAGTGAAAAAGAGTGACAGTTCAAGAGGTGACAGATACAGTAAACACGACAAAAACCCTCCAAAACCACCCACACCCCCACCGCCTCCAACAGTAAGTTCGCAATATAGTATCCAAGCAACCTAATTGGTAACTTAGTAACCTAACTGCAGGTAACCAAGTAACCCCTCCAACAGTAAGTTAACTGATTGGTAGGTCGAATCTATATTCTATAATATCATTTGGGCGGGTTTTAACCCAATTGAGTCACATTACATATTCAATTCCATATAACAAACCTAAGTGTTAATAATAAGCATATTTCACCCTTAACCAAGCTGTAGTCTAAGACTATCATAGGTAACCAAGTAACCCCACTGGTAACCAAGTAACCCCACTGGTAACCAAGTTACCCCACTGGTAACCAAGTAACCCCACTGGTAACCAAGTAATCCCACTGGTAACCAAGTAACCCCACTGGTAACCAAGTAATCCCACTGGTAACCAAGTAACCCCACTGGTAACCAAGTTTCCCCACTGGTAACCAAGTAACCCCACTGGTAACCAAGTAACCCCACTGGTAACCAAGTAACCCCACTGGTAACCAAGTAACCCCACTGGTAACCAAGTAACCCCACTGGTAACCAAGTAACCCCACTGGTAACCAAGTAACCCCACTGGTAACTTAGTAACCTAACTGGTAACCAAGTAACCCCATTGGTAACCAAGTAACCCCACTGGTAACCAAGTAACCCCACTGGTAACCAAGTAACCCCACTGGTAAATCACCCACACCTCTAAATATCATAACTAACAACTAACACCCTAGTCTGAACAGATAAACGAAGAGATTCTCGCTGAGTTGGCGGAGATAACCCGTTATCTTGAGAACGCTCTCATCCTAAACCCTAACCAGCAGAGGTGTTTCTTGGAGCTTGCTAATGTTAGCATTCTGAGGAACAGTAAGGATGCCGCCTTCGCTTACCTCAAACAGGTACACACCCCCATTTACTGCTTACCTCAAACAGGTACACACCCCGATTTACTGCTTACCTCAAACAGGTACACACCCCGATTTACTGCCTACCTCAAACAGGTACACACCCCGATTTACTGCTTACCTCAAACAGGTACACACCCCGATTTACTGCTTACCCCAAACAGGTACACACCCCGATTTACTGCTTACCTCAAGCAGGTACACACCCCGATATACTGCTTACCTCAAACAGGTACACACCCCGATTTACTGCTTACCTCAAACAGGTACACACCCCGATATACTGCTTACCTCAAAGTCAAACAGGTACACACCCCCATTTACTGCTTACCTCAAACAGGTACACACCCCTATTTACTGCTTACCTCAAACAGGTACACACCCCGATTTACTGCGGCCCGATTTACCGTGGTCCGATTTACTGCGCCCCAATTTATCGTGCTTATGTCGTTACCTAGTAACCTAAATGGTAACCCATGTGCAGCTAATAGATATTGTTTTGTACGTATTGCGTTAATACTTTGATAGTAATAGTGACTTATAAGTGAGTCTTAATGTACACCTCATACATAAAACATTTATATAATAGCCTAATTTTAATGCCATCATGTGCGGCTGTGTTTCAGCTATCTTCATGCAAATTTTGCTGATATGCCAACAAAATTAACTTCTACGGTTAAAAATACGCCTAGAAAGGTGTATCTGGAGTCCCTAACGTAACGAGCAGAAAATGCCCGTAAGAGCTTCTAATAAAATGTACACCTCGTACATAAAACATTTTCTTATGTCGTTCAAGTGCCGACTTTAAGCAGTGCTTACCACTCCCACGACACTTTCTAATACACATTGCACTAAAGTACCCTGGAACTGATATGCAGTGCTTGTGAGGACTAAACAGTCATCACAGCTAGCAATTATCAGGCTGCAGAGCTGAAATACAGGCAAATACGCTGTAAAAACATAGTTTTGGAACACAAGGAAATGTTTTGTAAACCACTATAACACTTCCTAATACCAACGAAAAATAGCTAAACCTAGTATAGTGTTCCAGATTTGATAATAGTTTTATGTTCAGGCTGCAGAAGATTCTAAAGACTGTTCAGTAAAAGCGCGGGCGTATAGGAATCTCAGTTACTTCCATTTGATTGACGGGGATGTACCTCAAGCTAACACCTTCATGGAGCAGTGAGTTTACTAATTAGTAACTATAAACTATCAGTATAATACTGAGGACTGCATAGTAATTAGTAACTATAAACTATCAGTATAATACTGAGGACTGCATAGTAATTAGTAACTATAAACTACCAGTATAATACTGAGGACTGCATAGTAATTAGTAACTATAAACTATCAGTATAATACTGAGGACTGCATAGTAATTAGTAACTATAAACTACCAGTATAATACTGAGGACTGCATAGTAATTAGTAACTATAAACTACCAGTATAATACTGAGGACTGCATAGTAATTAGTAACTATAAACTACCAGTATTATATAACTGAGGTACTGGCAGGAATAGAGTCCGGGTATTTACCTGGAGACTGCAGGCTTAGTGTTTAATAACACATCATGGACGATGTGACGGAGATATCGTGGAGTGCCGTTCAGTAACAGGGAACCACCACCACAAAAACCAAAATTATCTTTGATTGTTCCACCACGGCTTGTATAAAGGCCATAATGATGAACTTTGTGGTTTAAGATCGAGTGCCTTTAAGTATTTACATAAAGGCAGTATTGAATTGCCTTGAGGTCAGACAGGGCGTTCTGATGCTTATCAGTTCATGTGCCCTGTACTTGATAAGTCAAAGTGTCCATTTAATCCATGTCCTTTTGGCGGCATTCGGACGAAAGGCTGTCAAAGTCGACCGCCAGAATAATCTCAGTGCAATCTTTTTTGAATTGTCAGTTCTCATTTAATGTGACGTTCAAGAAATGTCATTGATTTTTTCACGAAATAGTTTAATTTCTTAAGCTAGTGCGGTTAAGTTCTTAAAAACCATTGAAATTGAGCTTCCACTTTTTAAAAGCGTTTTAAACGAACTAATCTTGAATTAATATATTTATACATCTGAACCAAAACTTGCCTGGTATTAAAATATTTGTTTTATTCTCTGGTTACTCAATAAAGTATTTAATATTACTGCTGTTCCTCAATCCCTATTTAAACATTTAACGTCAAATTTCCATGTTGAAATATAATCAAAATCTATTTATGAACATGATGCTTCAAGAGCGGACATTTGCTCCAATAAGTTATAGAATATTTAGAAAATATTTCGCAAATCGATAAGTTATCAAAATGTTTTAAAGTTTTAAGAATTCAGTAAAATATTCAAACAAATTGAAAGTAAAAGCAAGTGGTATCTCCATGGTTTCCTAAGTCAATCGACAGCAACAAATAAGCTTTTTTTATATATATTTTAATGATAGCTTGGGTTTGTGGTAACTTAGTAACCTCACTGGTAACTTAGTAACATACCGGCAACTTAGTAACCTCACTGGTTACTTAGTAACCTAATTGGTAATTTATTTACCCACTCACAACGACTGTTCTCATTTACACGTCCATCCCACAGAGCGTTCAAGTACGGTATCAGTACACTGTGTAAATCAGAAGAGAAAGCGAAACTAGTTGGTTTCATTTGTACTCTACTGGAGAATCTGCTGAACACAGGCCAGGTATCAGAAAGTAAACAGTGGGTGGAGTACCTTGTATCTGTGGAGCATCCTGAGGCTCCTGAGTTCAAGGCTAGGTGAGTCTTAATTATTATCAGTTGTCATAATGATACGTCTTCAGATAAAGTTGAGATAAATGCAAACCAAATCCCAAATCAGTTGGAAAAATTCTAAATAAAAACACATGCCACTACAACTTCAATATTTAATTTATCATTAACTACAAATAAAAGATACTCCAGGTACAAGCAACTGAAGGGAACTGGGTCCAAAGCAGGAGGGTTGAAGGTCAGCACTGCTATCAGCAGAACGAGAAAACCACAGAGGACCACGCAGATCACCAAAACGAGTATTACTGGTGATAAGAGGGGATGAGGGAGATCTGGAATTAGTTTTGATCTATATTTATTCACATAGCCATGTGTCTACGCGTACTGCGTGATGTATACTGCAAGCGAGAGGGCTCTGGTTAGAGCAACCATATTTAGATGCAGTGAAACTATCGGACTGCGAGAATGGGGACTTGCCGCCCGATGGCAACATATCATGGACATTACAAGGCTTATAGTCTAGATATGAGGATGTTTCAAGACTGTTTTATTCGGTTCCAGGGGTGGTGTAAACTGCTGTTTAATTTTAACCAATTAATTAAATTAAGTGAATAAATCTACTGAGACTGTTAAGCTATTACAGGGCTTCCGGATGACAGCTTTATAAATTATTACGTCATGCATAATGCTGATGGAAATGAGTTGGAATATTTGTAATTCGGAATATTTTCAATATTTGAATGGATGCCATGTCCAGAAAATGGTAATCATTTATTTAATCTTTGATAGCTTTTTTATTACACTTTGTTTTATTTTAATAACTTCACCAAGCAAAACCATAATCTTATCATTTAATAATATAACATATCACAAGGTAAAATAGGGAATACAATCAATAATTAAAATTTAAAACTCTCTTGCAGTTATTTAAATTAAAACAAAAACAGCTTCCTCGTCAATATGAAAGAAAACGATATAATTCAAAAATAGTGACAAAGGTCAAACAAAACAGCAAATTGGCACTATCCAATAAACCCAAAATATGTATTAGGGTCTAATCAGGGTCAGGGTCAGGGTCAGGGTCTGGGTCAGGGTCAGGGTCAGGGTTAGGGTCAGGGTCAGGGTCAGGGTCAGGGTCAGGGTCAGGGTCAGGGTCAGGGTCAGGGTCAGGGTCAAGGTCAGGGTCAGGGTCAGGGTCAGGGTCAGGGTCAGGGTCAGGGTCAGGGTCAGGGTCAGGGTCAGGGTCAGGGTCAGGGTCAGGGTCAGGGTCAGGGTCAGGGTCAGGGTCAGGGTCAGGGTCAGGGTCAGGGTCAGGGTCAGGGTCAGGGTCAGGGTCAGGGTCAGGGTCAGGGTCAGGGTCAGGGTCAGGGTCAGGGTCAGGGTCAGGGTCAGGGTCAGGGTCAGGGTCAGGGTCAGGGTCAGGGTCAGGGTCAGGGTCAGGGTCAGGGTCAGGGTCAGGGTCAGGGTCAGGGTCAGGGTCAGGGTCAGGGTCAGGGTCAGGGTCAGGGTCAGGGTCAGGGTCAGGGTCAGGGTCAGGGTCAGGGTCAGGGTCAGGGTCAGGGTCAGGGTCAGGGTCAGGGTCAGGGTTATATATTTCGGGCTACATGGACAAAGCATAGAATCTAAACAAAACATTAATTATTCACTCCTCTAACAAGTCTAAACTCTCAAGAGACTGATACGTTATCCTCTTCTGACAAAACACGTGTATATTGGCGTGTATAAGAGCTACCACCACCACAGCTGTTCCGAACACACCAGTACAGATCGGGAACCCGTAGTAATAGGTAACTGTTCCGCTTATAACCGAGCCTGCCCTGAGTCAGGAGTTATTGACTAGCATTTAGTTTTCAAGTGGGTTTAGAATATGGTTTACATAATCTATAGTTTAATTTGATTTATAGTTTAATCTAATTATGTATAATTTGGTTGAGTCCTATTAAATGTTAAATATTTTAACATCAGCACGATCAAGATCATCAAGCTTGCTTTTTAAAAATTACTTGCAAACTCTCGACACTATGAAAAACGGAAATAAACTTTGAGAGCTGATTTTAAAATGTAAACAATTTGTAACTCCTAACCATAATCCTCCGTAGAATGCAAAGTTCTGAAGCGCAGCTAGGATTCCACAAGACTCATCGTCCTTCTTTAACCCAAGAGCAGTGGCCTCTTCGACCATGGCAGGCAACGTCGCACTGATAGTTATTTTAATATCATAACTTCACAGATATAACTGGTAACTGAGTAACCAAACTGGTAACTTAGTAACCTAACTGGTAACTTAGTAACCTAACTGGTAACTTAGTAACCTAACTGGTAACTTAGTAATATTAACCTAGTAACCTAGTATCCTAACAGTGGCCTCCTCTACCGGACCATGGCAGGCAATGTCGCACTGACTGTTATAGTAATGGTTATCATTTGAGAAAACTAATTATAGTTTTAAAACCAATTCGCCAGCTGTTATAATATATGGTAAGTAGACTGAATACCTACAGCTATCATCACTATGTTAGATTGTTAGTATGTGCAGGTCAAACGGATAGAATCCGTATCGAAGTGAATTTGTGAATCGAAAGATGACACAAAAGATCGAGGTTCGACCGGGTTTTGAACCCGGGACCTTCTGCGTGTTAAGCAGATGTGATAACCACTACACCACCGAACCGACATTCACAAAATATTTCCATGTTGTCAAATATAACTATAATGCCAATTCTTTAACTTCCTACTTTTTGCACAATATCACAAGTAACAATATGATGCAATGTACATTTCTCCTTTGCGTAACAACACGTAAGACACAATCTAATTAATTCACTGAAATAATGCTGTCGAGTATAACTGCTAACCTGAATACAGGAGCCTGTCCAACTCCAATTAATATGAGAGATATGCATATCCTCGCCGTTATCCATCTGACAAAGTAGTTGGGATTAATTTTAACAGGAATTTCTATAAGTAATTGATTTAATTGATTAACTGATAATTCAAAAATTACAAATCTGGTCCATGGCTCATCAGTATTGTCTGAACTCTGTAGTAAAATCCTGATTTAACTAAAGCGTAACTAATAATACCAGGTGTTGTCTTACTGTAATATCACATGATATCTTACACAGAACAACAAGCAACAAACAGGGTACATTGGAGAGGTATAATACACCGGAAAAAGGAGTTACTGCGGTGCAGGCCACTCCAACGACTAGGAGGAGACCTTTTCAAGTACAAGTAAGTAAGTAAGTTATCTTACGTGCTAAAGTAAGCTCCAGCTATGCCTATAATAGCATAACCCAACCCAGCTACAATAGCACCACTCAGCAGTACAGTGTTCGGGTTCCACTTCCACGTATCGACTGGAGGGAGGGAGAGGTTTATAATTAATTTAGAGTCTTCTGTATGGTTTTTGTGAGAAAATCAGATTAAAAGTTAAAACTATAGCTAAGGGGTCCTTATATTTGGAAATGAATGTTGTGTTTTTAATCAAGTTAGGTCTCTGGGATTCGAACAGCTGATCGGGCAATCATACCTGAATGGTTTCACCATTTTATAAGGTATCGATTTAGCATTGCACAATGATCGACTTTCATGATATTCTCTAATCATGACCTTTTTATCAATTTTTGAATTTCTTTGACTGAGTACTATGATTGATTTTATCTGACTAATTTATTTCTTTTTTGTAGGCTGTAGCGATGTATTAAACGAAGTTTCCAAGCCAAATTTGTGTGTTTCCCTTCGTGTCCAAATCAATCATTTTACGGATTTAGCATTGCACAACATCAGCAGTGTTCTTAAGGTAACGTAATGCGATTGATAATAAATGATGAAAAGGAATTACTCATTAAAATTTATCAGACAGACTACTTAATCAAAAACTTACTAAGCGATCCCACCGGAGGAGTCCCAAGCGTGAAAGCCAAATCCCTCACCATGTAAAACACTCCGATATAAGCTGTGTCGTTATATCCTGTAGTGTTAGATGATATTTCATTCCAGCTCAAAATGATAGCATCTGGTAACCGTATACGCGGTTGCGCAAACTTTGTAAGTTCGTACGTTTTTCAATAAAAGGTGAAAATATTAAAATAGTAGAACTCAGTAATGCTGCCTTGGAGAATTAGTCAATAATATCGGAATAACACTTATAAATAACATTACAGAGTAGTGTCTAAAAAAGAGCATCACGTGTTAATGTAATACCTTGTAGTGAGAGATATGGGGAGAGAGTTGGGTCTAGAAATGAAGTGCATGCTGTACCAAACATTGCTGTCACCAATATCCACTGAAAATATCACATTTATCCTCAGAATTAGCTCCCTAACTAGGCCCATGTTATTTATCACATACTTTTCTGGTCGTACAGCTCATTTAATCATTTATCGAGTTGATATAAAGCTCAAAACATTTATTTATTCAGAAAAGTCTAGAATAAATAACAGGTGGGTGTCATCGCACAAGTCAATACTAAAGACCAGCCCCATAAACGACAAAAAAGGAGAAACGTCTGGTCACAAGATAACCAGTTGCCTGGCAACGCCAGATTCCAAGATATTTACCAAGAAACGTATGTTTGTAAAGAGATGCCAGGACTTGGTGAAGACGACTTTAGTAGACACCACGTGACTGTCAGCTGCTAGCCTGCTTTCTCTCAGGTTCCTGAATACCAGGTTCACCTGGGGGTATGGGTGTTATTATAACACGCCTACAATAAAGGGGGTGGGGGTAAGTTCACAGCTAGAGAAAGAGAAGTAATGCATTTGGTAGGAAATCAACGCCAATACTTAATATTAAACAGACAAACATGATCGCTGTACAGAAAATCAGTAACCTAACATGATCACAATACAACCTTGCTTATCCGCCAACAAAGAGTTTTAGATCAACATTAATAGAATATAAATTAATGACTATATAGTCATTAATTATGACTTAAAATTGAAACTTTAAAAAGAATGATAAATACCAATTTGATATTAGAGGTAAATTGAAGATTGTAAAAATGATAGCATCACGTACCATAATTATGGAAATGAAGCAGAGGACTGCTGAAAGGAGGAAAGGAAGGGAGAAGTTGGTCCAGGAGTAAAGAATACCACCTACAGGAGGTCCCAGCATGAAGGAGACACCCATACAACTGTTCAAGGTAACTGTTAACCTGTGAAATTAGTTGTTTAATTCAATAGATAGATTAGGATCAACGATATTTAATAATAGTTTGTGTTAGACTCACCTTGCCAAGATGTTTGGTGAAGCGAGAGGAGGCTATTAGTTTGTGTTAGACTCACCTTGCCAAGATGTTTGGTGAAGCGAGAGGAGGCTATTAGTTTGTGTTAGACTCACCTTGCCAAGATGTTTGGTGAAGCGAGAGGAGGCTATTATTTTGTGTTAGACTCACCTTGCCAAGATGTTTGGTGAAGCGAGAGGAGGCTATAGCGAAGACCGCTGTATCTGTTGCTGCACATCCCACCCCTTGTAGCCCTCGCAACACAAAGCTTATCTGATAGGGATTAGGGGTGAACAGTGATAACAACTTTACATTTTGGGGATGATAACTGATCAAGTGATAAGCAGAGAATTTGTCACTTCACTGGAATTTAAGTTGCTCAACTGAAAAATCCAAAAGAAACACTGACAATGATCAATATTTTAATGTACAGTGGATAGAATTAGTTGCAGCTTATCCATGTTTCTTAAATAAAGAAAATAACTTACAACTCCGAACGTGAGACTGTTGTCTATTTTGTCTATACCACCGAACACTAGTGAAGAGGTCCCCACTAGTACTAGTCCCAGCTGAAATAGGAGATACTCGGTCAGTCAGTCAGTCAGTTGATATCATTATCATAGTTGAGCAGGTCGGCAAAATATTTTCACAATGGACCAAGATTCAAAGGATAAGATGTTCACAACAAGGCAGATATTTCCAATGAAATAGGAGGTTGCTACATGATATTAACAAATAAGAGGATCATTTAATTCATCCCAACCTGAAGCAAGTTAGCTTGTCCAATCTTCGTCATGAATATAGCCATGAAAGGAGAAGCAAGAACAGTGGTTGCGTAGTAAACTCCCAGAATTGTACCGGTAACGTCCGAATCCAGTCCTGAGATAAATAGGTAAGTATTTGAACTGTAGTTTTCGGTGCTATGAAAATTATTGTAATTTTGAAGAATGGATGAATAAATATATTAATTACAGATGTGGATGGGGAGCCGAGGTAATTTATTCGACGCGTAACAGCAATAATTGTAAACCAATCAGCCTCCACTATCGACAAATCAAACCCCAGAATCACTGCCACGTGATCCATTTCACCAGAATTTGAGTTTGCATGCTTTGTATCAAAGCTTAGTTAAATAGGAGTCCCACGGACACAATTGATCGACGATTAAAATCTTGTCGATATACGTTGTTGTAAATATTAATGTCATATATTATTTTTTTTTAACAATTGATTTCACTAGAATCCCCATCTACCCAACTGAAAATACGTACCGTGATGGGCAGCACTACGGGGGTAGAAGGGAGCACACATGCTCGATACCAGGTTAGTGCTGAAGATAGACAGACACATCGTCAGCACCATCATCCTGTAATCATTATTATTTATTAAACTTATGAAACTTATTGATTTAATAAAACTTATTTAATGATTAATTAAAGTACCTTGTGCTAATGAAATGTTTGGAAGGGTTTGAATTTTGAAAGGTAGACAACTTTTGATCTTTTTTCACCAAACTTCAGAAGATCAACGTAATTCAACCAATCAACCATTAACTATTCTCCTGAATTATACGTTCGGCTTACGGCGAGAACTATAAATATGTATAAGCTTTTAATGTCGATAAGCGTGGTGTAAAATAAAGGTTCTGCAATTAACAAAGGGCTAAACAAGTTAAGATCCAATCTCCAACAGGACATTAACCAAGACTGCAACATTAATAATGTTTATATAACATTTAATTTCTTAGGACAGACTTTTGGTGAGGGCCTGTATTTCCTGGCTAATTTAGCTTCATCGCTCAAAGTTTTAAAAAGTTGTACATAGGACGCGGAATATTCTTAGTGTCGTAAATACGTATTTCACGAGTCTTTCGGCCACAACGAATTACACATATTTTCTTACGTTAATCTGGATCAGCTCTACAACTTACAAGCAGCGCTTTCCGTAAAATTTTATATTAAAACTTTTATATAGATTAATCCAATGATGCAGATTATTTGCAAATTTTGCACTGCAAAGCAGTATTAAAATTAAATCGACACAAAAATGTGACATAAAATTAAATTGAGGAAGGGTATCTGGAAGGATGTTTTGCAATATTTTGACATCTTGTTTCAGTGACAACCTAATTGTAAGTTGCAAGTCATTTATTACTATATTTAATATTTAATTATGAGTATTAGTTATTTAAATGTTTATAGTCACTGATTTGAATTTCGAGTAACAGAGCTTAATTTCCATTACAAAATAATAATCATCAAATTACGAATATTCACTACAGGGTGTTTCAAAAATAATGTCCTGATTTTAAAAAACAATAAAAATGTTTATAATGATATTTACCTGAGTTTAGTAGAACTTGTAGCCTCAGACTCCGTTGTTATCGGATACTCAATACTATACTCATCCAGCTTTCTCAGAAGGTCTTCTTTTCCTTTCATATTTAGTTCTAACAAGAGAAAGTGAAATTAATTACAAACAATAGATCATCGAACAATTAGTAGTACTAATTTAAATCGATATTAAATTCATCAGGATTCCAGCGATGACAAAACGTACAGTGATTTAAAAAAGTTGAAAATAAACGTCCAAAAGCCTACATGATCTCTGTGCATCTAACTAATCCAAAAAGCTGCAACATATCGTTCAAATGAGGGTATTATATATAAATGCCGCGTCTGAAAAATGATTAAGTCTGTGATGACCGGCAATAGCTTTACTGATAAGATGAGAAATAGAGGGACCAGTACACTAGTACACTAGTACACTAGTAGTGTAGTTCCGAACGTTTAGGCACGGTGCTAGGTTGTGGTACACACTCAACAGACTACCTAGTTGAGTGTGTACCACAACCTAGCACCGTGGCTAAACGTTCGGAACTACCGGACCTATGTGGCAAGCCTGCTCCTTGAACACAGAAAAAAAGAAAACAAGTTTAATTGCGGACCTCCTACACTATATGCACATAAAGGAGTTAGGTTGGTGAAAAGGAGCTAATTCACACGGACCCATTAATTAATCTAATGTCGTGGGGGAAGTAAGTGCTTTTACTATTACGTGTATATTTGTATATTCTACCTTTATATAAATTAAAAAGGGTAAATAAAAAGGGGTTTTAAGGGTTAAAAATTCAAAAACTTATACATCATATTTAATATGTAATTATAAGTATTAATCATTTAAAATGTTGATAGTTTGGTAAAATTTAGAGCCTTAATTTCCGTCGTGAATATTATAACAACTGAACAAAATGACGAACGTTACAGAAGAATCTAACTGCCACCAGACCTGCGTTATAATATAACGTTAAATTAGGGAAATAAAAACTGTAAGGTAACAAACCAAGCAATTATAAAATGACCCTGCCTTCAATCACGATGCTGATTGTTGTTGCATCGGAACTTGCCGGTTGACAGTTGACACGTCATAACGATAACGGTCCAATAAAAGTAAGGCTACCTTCTGATATCTGGACCTCAGACCACTGCTTATATAAGTATATAATATTCGTAACTCTCCTCAATCCGACTCCACAGGGCTCTCTGCCTACAGCAGTCTTACCGTCGCAGCTTCCTTCACAGGGCCTCCCCACACCATGTCAACTTATCAGCCTCTTCAAACCACCGGTGCGTTTATTGATAAAAGCTCTTTGTTTCTAGAATAAAGCTCCAACACGTGCAAATTCTTAGAGCGCATGTTCAGTTAACTTTCCTAGAAGTCGAACAAAAATTGAGAGCAATTTTATTAGTGAACATTGTTCACTAATAAAAACGCTCTCAATTTTTGTTCGACTTCTAGGGAAGGGCAGGATTCGGTTCCGAGAAAGTTAGTTTATCAAAAGGTACAGTGGAGCTGCACGTGCCTGCTTCACTTATTTACTCACCAGTTGGTGTTATGAGGTCCAGGAACAAACACAGGCTCATGAACTAATGAATCCTTGAATGTTTCTACCATTTATTAAGTCTGACTACCTCTTCAACTTGAAGCATGCAAGCTCACCTGGTCCAAAGAGCGGGAAACGGAGAACGAGCTCTGGTGACGTCATAGTCACGTGACCTCAGGCTCATAATCACGTGACCTCAGACCCAATCAATTGAGTTCTGGCCTGTTCAGCCCCCTGTCACCAGATCTTGAGGTGACGTACGACAACTGATCGTTAACCCAATCGATGTCTGGAAGGCTGCAAATTTTCACATGCCAAACTCACAACGGTTTTTCGGAGTTGTGCGAGATGACGATACATAGAGGCCGCAGAATTATGAGGACTACCAGATCCTGGTGGAACCTAAGCGATCCATGATATCACGACAGGCCCTACAGTCTTCAAGGGAAATTTAAGATTTATTCCAAACAATAACCGACAGTGCAGCTGGTTAAAGTTCACATGTTTCTTTATCAGCCATCTGACCGCCTAGTTTACGCTCCAATTCAATGGAGTTAATTTCATCCTGTTGGATGAAATTTCAATTCAAGTAATGCTTTTCAACTCCAGGACCGTAAATTTGTTGTTCCACTAAATTAACACGACCGTCTTGAGGATGACCTGATCAAGCTTCACTGACTGGATATAAAGACAATTATTGCATTCAAAATCTTATTACTATCTGATAGGCCCTTGCTAGGATTGGCTCTAACTTATCTGCAAAACAAGTTTAATTGCGGACCTCCTACACTATATGCACATAAAGGAGTTAGGTTGCTTCACAAGGACCCATTAATTAATCTAATGTCGTGGGGGAAGTAAGTGCTTTTACTATTACGTGTATAATTGTATATTCTACCTTTATATAAATTAAAAAGGGTAAATAAAAAGGGGTTTTAAGGGTTAAAAATTCAAAAACTTATACATCAGTGTAATGTCAAATTAGAATTTTATGAAAAGAATAAAATAATCACAACAAATAGAAGCGTAAAAGTAAAACTGGACCACTTCAGTACATATAAACAAATAAATGTTCTAGTATAATGAAAGTAAATAAACAACTAACTAGATGCTGAAGTTACATGAGGGTGCAGTACTCCGTTATAAAACTAACGTTTTATTCTTAAGCATGCTTCATCAAATCCCATGAGGAGGGCGGTTTGAAACTTGAAATACCTCATACGCTTTCTATTTCCAAATGATCTCAATTTTGTCAGACAGAACTCATACTTTTGTACGGCGAAAGAAACAAAAGGTGTGGCCTCCTGTCAGCTAGTGGTGAAGAAGAAAGTTACGAAACAGTTCGTACAATCACTCTCCGAATAGGCTGAACAGGTGCAGCAGGCCAAACAATTAGAGGGCCGAATCTAAAAAACAGATCATTATAATGCTCCTAACTTAAGCTTTTAATCTTTTTTTTCGAGAGAGAGAGAGAGGTAAATTATTTTTTACTTTGGTGCACCGATTATCCTAGGACCTAGAGTCGTTAGCTGCAGTTTTCGTAGTAATCACGTTGTAGTCGTAGTATTTGGGAGCATGAGGATGGTAGAATATTTGACGTGATTTTGATTACTCTAACTTCGTTGTCTGGGTTGTTGGAGACAGAACCTGTTCTAGGCGCATGACCTGGTGAAACTGTCGATATATAGAGTTATATAATGGAGATTTGGGATCGGGGCGGGATCTTTTCGTTATAATTTGACAGGTCTTCGGTAAGGTGTGCAGAATATTTTATTCGTAAAAAAAACGAAACACCTTAACATAAATTACGATCAATGATTTATAGAATAATATTTTTAGCCTCCGATAGAAAAATCGGAAAGAGTTAAGTTAATTGAAAGTTTTCTATATTATTTTCTGGGTGGCACAACAGATCAATAAATGGTGTTTATGTTCTATTTCTAATAAATTGATTAGTTAATGACAATATACGATTTATTGTCTATAAAACAATCATTACATATTTTGTGGCCGTTATATCAATTGTGGCTCATATTTTTTGTGCTAGCAAGCTATCCGCACTGGTTGCCTCACACTCAGACACGAGCCATGAAATTAATCAAAAGATAACCAAGTACAGTCTCCAGAAACAGGCTCGAACAATGGTACGTGAATGGGTCGGGGACATTAAAGGTAGTCACGTGATCAGTAATAAAGGGACGGGAACTGTTACGGAACAATACGATAAAAAGCAGGACAATTTCACTAATGAATAGTCCAAGAAACTAATGAAATGGTCAAGAGATTACCTCCCTTGAGGGGGCATGATTTCATGAAAAGGACCGACAATCACTTCAACATGATTTCTAATCTTCAGATGAAATCTTCAGATGGATTATAACGTTAATGTCACCGTGTTATTATCGGTCACGTGGGGCGTGTGATTATGATTCAAATCTTGACACTATGATTACTGATTAGCTAAGCTGGGTTGTCATGACAATGGTTTAGAGTTTAGATGTTCTTCAGAATCAGAGTGTGTTCTGACAGTCTCATGGTTCAAATATGTCCATTATTAGATTTCAGCGCACTCTATGGAACTGGCAGAAGAAATACCAACATGTAATAGTATAACTAAAGTTATAATATTATTTTACTAAAGTTATTACTAACTTTAGTAAAAGTTATAAAGTTATAACTAAATTATTATACTAAAGTTATGCTATTATTACTCTATTACGAACTCAAGTTCCTAAAGTAAAGTAACTATAGAAGCAATAGTGGGCTCTTGATTGACACTTCAATCTGTCTGATAAATAATCTATTTCTAGGCTCATATGACATTGAGAATACGTTGGTTCAAGGCTGATCAGTGATCAGTGCACTTTGTAGTAGTTTCCATGACAACCTAGTTGCCATGACAACCTAGTTGCCATGAAAACCCAGTAGTAAGACACCCACTTAGTTATGGATATCGGGTCGAGACAAAATCTGTCAGGCAAGTCAGTTGAAAGTTGTTCAATATCTTAAATAGTCAAATGAAACGATTATCCAAGTTATCATGGTAGATAAGTTAGTATTTTGAACGGAACGATTTGATGTCAGCTCGATGACACTAATGGCAACCATGGCAACCATGGACAAATCCCGAACCCGTGAGAAGATTGATTCAACGATCATGATCAAAGAAATTTAAACAATATTAGAGAAAATTAAAACTTATCAAAATCTTGTCACAGCGATTGTGACATGATGTCAGTGGTTATCGTAATATCAAAGACCACATGGTTACCTTAGATTCTCTGAGTTCCCCGTACGTGACTATATTCACGTACGCTTAACGAAATTAGAAAAATAGTTGAATTGCTATCAAATCATATCATCAAATCTAAAAAGGATCGCGCTTAACAATGAAAAGGGGGCTCGTTTTTACAATGGAAAATAGGGAGCGGTCGATACATTATTGTAATTTTGAGAAGCAGCTGGTACATGTAGCTTATATATACGTTTATATAGAAACTTATATAGAAACCTATATATATTTCAACTTTTAGGGCGGCTGCTATTTAACACCTTGTAATACTCGTGGCACAGATTTTAACACACTGATCTTATTACGTTGAGAGTATAGAGTCTAGGGATGAACTTAATGTCAGATTTCATTATTATATTGAATTTAATACAAACTAATTATTAAATTAATAATATAACCACAACCGCTTTTATTTTTAACAAATAATACTCAAATATAAATCTACATTGGTAGTTTAGCGCTAAAAACAAGCCGTAGAAAATGAGGACAGCTGACTTTGAGCTGTCCCCATTTCCTGGAGATACTGCCACGACACTACGACATGGTGCCACTATCCTAGTCTGTAAGGAAACTGTGTATTATAATTATTATTCTTGATACCTTAATTAAGAAAATTAAAAGATTCACTGATCCTCATGGAAAGTGTGTTTTAAACCTGCGATAGTTGGAATATTGCCATGCTTCAATGGAATATTATTACTTTAAACTAATTACAACACTACAAATCTATTACATTTATTGAGAATTATGTGATGTAACGTGATCATGGAAATATTTTAAACGGGTCATATCCTGCCCAAACCCAAGATGCATAACATGAAGAATTCGTTGTAACTTTATAACATAACATTTGTATTACAATAACTAAAACATAATTTCACAAAAAACGAAGGCACAAGCCTATAAAATAGATGATATAAACGATCTCCAACGATGCGCAGAATACGATTCACCACTCTACTGTGCGACCCTTATGTACTTATGTAGAGCCACAGAATCACCACACTTTGCAGCCCTTATGTCGAGTTAACCCAGGTCTAATTGGCCACTTTTTATACGAGTACTCATGTGAGTATTATATGTTTGCGGTTAAAAGTATCTAATAGAAAGAGAGGTAGTATATTTCCCGTTATTTCTACAGTTTATACACTAATTGGATACCTAATTGGATACCCAAATTAATTGTGGTTGGACGGTATATTTGAAAACCAAATGAAGAGAACTAACCGATTTTTCTGAAAGACGATCAATCAACACTACAAGAGTTGAACCAAAGAACAGTATCCTGCTATAAGTATAACTCAACTCAGAGGTGCTGACTTCCACTTCAAATCTTTAAATAACTCTCCGCTAGCCTGTGGATTATAGAGTTCTGACATGATATCAGATAAACAGTAAACACGTGTACCCTGAAAGCTGTACTGAAACCCACTGCAGATTTGTACAAGAAGCACCTTATATAAGAATGTACTTAGCAGTGATGCAGTGATCAGAAGTACTGGTCACTAGTCACCTGGTTTATAGGAAGATAAGATCGGTAGAAATGGGTTTGAGAACCATTGTTTATTGTCCCAAGTCATAGGTCTCTTGGTTGTGCACAGAAAGGATACTTAAAAGGATTTAAGAATTCTTGCCTTCTTATAATGCTGAAAAGCCTTACCTGAAATATTATGAAGGCACTAAGATTTCAATGCTCTAAACTCTAAAGTCTCCAGAGAGTAATTATTAGGGCCAAAAACAAAAGACCCGAGGAACTAGTCATGCCGGAATACTTTAAACCGTCAAAAATTGTGGCTATCTTTTGCCACGAATTTTGGTGAAACCTTGAATTTAAGTGTATTATTATATCCAACTCGAGAATGTCAAAATCTTTAAATGCTTAAATCCAATGTAATACTAATAATGACGCCCAATCCAATAATGATGTTGTCACCATGCGCTTTGAAGTCCGAAATCCCTTTTTATTGCTCATGTTCTAAATTGGTCTGGGGTGATAGCGGAAAATTTCTAGCAGATTTTCTGGAATGAGCAAACTGTTAGGGACAAAAAACAAAAGGTCGCATATCCATTAGAACAAGGACCTCTTTGAAAGAGGGGGTTATTTTCTATTGTAACAACGATACAAAATGTATGTACATTCTTCTCCGAGAATGGATAATAATAATGATGAATATCCATTTTGTAACCCCCTCTTTCATTCTCTTCGCATGAAGTACAAGCAGTTTGGTTAACAGTATATGACATGTGTTAACAATATATTACACGTGTTAACACTTTATTACAGGTGCGGCAAGAAAAAATAATATTCTTGAATCTGCAGCGTCCTGACGCGTCTGTATTACGAAATTAAAGTCATTTAAAAATAACAAAGACATAATTAGCCCTGAGTTATATAACAATAGATTACATAATGGGGTAAAATTATACCACTTGGAAGAGTTAGTATGATGACATTTGAACATTATTGTGTCGAATCAGGAGGTTACAACCGTGGGGTAAGGTGGTCAGAGGGTTATTATTTTATAAATTAAGTTAAATATTATACTAATACAGATGGGAGTTGAATGAGCAGCTGCAACATTCCAGTTACAGTAAAGAATGTAATAGACTGTAACAATGTTTAACTTCAAACAATACTTTACATAGCGAATTGTTATAAATATAATTTGTACTTTGCTATGAAATATGCTCGGTTTTGCCGTTGACCCTGACAATGCACCTGTCACTGCTTAGAATGGACAAGTCAAAGCTTAACCAACAAAAAAAACATTCAAAAATAATAATGAAATCCCCAAATTTAGTGCACATTAAAATATTCATACAAAAAAAAAACGATTAACCACGCCCTGATTTACCATAAACACCCATTTATTGCAGCCAATTTCCTTCGTTGAATTTTGATCGGAAATGGGAATTTCTTGATTATTCTTAAATATCTCATTGGGATTAGATCGCTTGAACGTGTACATAGTGACCTCACACTGCTTCTTGTTTAATCGAATTATAACCATGTCCCAAAAATTCAATTTTAAATTAAGCGAAGACCCCGATGTTATACTACAACGTGTTCCTTCTCCAAATTTGACGGTAAATTGGGACTTTAATAGAAGATTCGGAAACGCGTGACTCAAAGCAGTAAAGAAGACACGTGACAAAAATAATCTGATAGTCACGCAAAAGAACCCAAATAAGGCAGTTGATTGATTTCCAAGAATTATGTTTTAACTTGTGTCAAATTTATGTCTAGTGGAGTAGTTGCTTGAAAGGCGGAGGTAATAAGCGTTTATCTTGGAAAAGGTGTAATTTCCTTAATAAATGATGATTTTAACAGAAATATGAATAATTCTGCTGTGGAGACAAAGCAGGAAAAATAATAATTCTTAAATATGAGGCGCAACAAATTATTGATATCCAAATTTCAATTCAGACATCATTATCAGTAATATCGATTGATGACGATCGTGTTTAATTCCGCTTTATAACAATGAAATTTATTGACCGATGATGCAAAGCAATAGTTAACAACTTAACAACACGACTCTTAAATTACTCTGACATAATTACAAAATTACCAGACAGATATTGGTAAAAGTGTATTTTATTGTATCAGATGCCATCGTGGAGTAGGTGGTCTGGTGACACAAAGCCAAGATAAAAGCTGGGACCGGCTTAAAATCATAAAGAAATGAATGGCCTTCGTATCCTTCATTCCTGTAAATTTGAGTGCGGAAGGGCGGCGAAAATATTTGAAGAGCTATGAAAAATGATAAGAGGTAAAAACAATCCCCTCAGTGTAAGATCCCTGGAAGTAAGGGTCCTACACGGTGATCATGATTCTATTAAACTTCTGCGCGAAGCACCACTGTCCTTGTTAGAAACTGTTGATTAATCTGGAGCATCTAGGAAATCTTCTGGCCGATATCCTTCACTGCATGTATGGCATAAATGGCATTAAAATCGCACTGTTACTTTTACTGCAATATTGTAAATTAAAATCATGCAGCAGCCGGAAAAACACAACTATGATATTTTGAATAAGATGTGCAATAAGGAGTTGTTATAGTTTTCTGGTGGCCCTTATTCTAATGAGGAACTTACTAATGTTGACGCTAATGGTTCATGTTTGATATAACAATGGATCACCACATTGAACCTATTTAGGCGTGTATGACTGTAAGGCGTGTATGACTGTAAAACTGTGAGGCTTGTATTTTGTGATATGTATAATAAATAGCACTAATTCCGTTTATCCATGATCCTAACATAATAGTCATTAAGAGTTAATAGGACAGCAAAAAAAAAAAAAAACAGTGTTTTTTCAAGGTTAAAATAAATAAATGAGTGGCGTTGATGATACGATTAATTTGATCACCATGGATCTAAATAATGCTCATGGTTTACAATAAAAGTGATGTGATGAGCTACACTACGTCTTTATTCCAGTACTGCAGTGAGTAAACATGGCTCTGAACTGAGCACTATAAGAACCTCAAGCGTCACAACACGTAGCATGACGTCACAACACGTAGTATGACGTCACAACACGTATGCATGACGTCACAACACGTAGCATGACGTCACAACACGTAAGTCGTAAATTGCTCTGAACTGAGTACTATAAAGCTATAAAGCTATAAGAACTATGCTAGGTCGCAATAATGCAAACTTAAAGCAAAAATGATTAACTTCACTTCACTCTGAAGGTTTTTTTCGCGGGAATTCCTCCAACAATCTTGTAGGATAAATTGTAGGATCCTTCTTCAGAGGTTCACAAAGTTGAAGAACAAAATTAGCCCGAGTTTCGCAAGAAAGAAACATTTCCCTCCCTCGCAATGCACTCATAGGGTAACGGTTAATTTGTAACTCACATTAAACTTTGAACTGTTTGTTAATTAATCGAGAAAATGTTCAATCTTGCGCTTCTTTCTCCACATGTCCCGAGCCACCAATAGTATCACAATTGCGCTATTGCAATATTGCAAATTAAAATCATTCGTGGCCGAAAAAAGATGGCTTCTACTTTTTTACTACGTAATACAACAATCAGTTTACTTTAACGTATACTGAAATGGAATACTTAAACTTTAACTGAACATTACTCCAACCCCCAACAATAGGCAGTATTTCTCCTGATCTGTTGTCGATATCTTCGGCTCCCGGCCTTTGTAATTTCCCAAATAAAAACCGTATATATTATATAGTAGTTACTACAACAGGGCCTATAGTTTTGGTTCCTCTGGGAGAAATTTAAAAGGTGGTGTAAAAAGAGCTGGACTAATGTTTAGCAGTGAGAAACCTGTTGAGCAGTCATCCATTGTGATAGACCGGTTAATAATATATTGTGGTTTCGACCAGCTGCCGTTCTTTAAAGAGTCTAACTTTTGAATTCAGGCTGGTCTTAGCACCATGAATTGTAGAGTCAATGATTGCAGAGAAATGATTGGATTATACACCATAAAGATAAGTAGTAAATCAAAAAAACTAAAAAACAAAGATTCCTTCAAAGTAATTATTATACTACGGCCAAGACACCGATACACGATGGTTACCCCAAACTAACACGTTCAACCAACACATAACCAAACTCCAGCAACCCCCTCCCAACACGCTACCACACTGAAACCCGGGCAGATCCAGACCTCTCAACTCTAAATCAATAAACACCGTTAAGTTTATTCGAGCGCAACGGTCATTTATAAATGTTGCCCCTTTTCTCAACGCTTAAACTCAGAATTGTGTAAATG